ACTCGTGATTTTGAACTTGTATTCAGAGCATAATTCTTATAAAAGATCTGAGTTTTGTGGCAAAACATGCAGCCACAGAAACACTGGAAGCTAGCTTCATTCTTTTAATGTTTTAAATATTTTAAAATACTATTTCTTACAAAAACTGTATTGGGCAATGTTAGATTACAACAGGCTTCAGACAAACCAATCAGAAAATAAAGTACACACGCTCTTACCTTTTAAATTTTTTTCTTCAAAGCCTTTAGTTTGAGATTTCACTAATGAAGACAACTTCCTAAGGCTAGTAATGTATAGAGTTCTTAATTGCTAGATAAAATATTATTTAGGACATCCTTTTATCTCTAAAACAGAAGTCAATTGATTGTTGCAAGGACACTACTCTCCTTGACTAAAGTGACAAATTGTACATTTTCAGTGGAATCGCTGTAATATTACAGTTGTACTGAGTAGGACATTCTATGAGGGATCAACCTACTGGAGATCAAATTATGCTTCATTTAGATTTTTAACACTGTTTACATTATAGATAGTTGCTTACATTGTTGTTGATTTCAAAAATAAAGAAGATTGAAGAAACAAAGCCTTTTGAAACAAACCGTTTGAAACAAAGAACAGCACAGCTTGAATTTTTATATAATGTTGAAATTGGATGACAGTGATTGAAAAGTTAAGTATTTTCAAATGATCAAGTCTAGTGCTTTTGACAAATAAGCAGCACTTAAAGGTATGGAGAAAGAAATTTCATATAGAAATATGTCAGTATAGTCAGAACTGTCTTGTTAACTTTTAAAGTTAGATCTTCTGAAAAGAACAGCACTTCTGAAAGGTTAATAAAAATACCTAGAAATATAATGGCCAATTAATAAATAACAAGTGCTACAATAAAAACACGATTCTAAAGTCAGAAATTAGTGTATGTTTAAAGAAGAAGTTGTGTTAGAGAAAATTCATGTAAATCTTGGATACTAGTTTTTTTTGTCAGTGAGAATCGGTTGCAACTGATGCACGTGCTAGGTGGGTCGTTGGATTATTCTGCAGGTGATCTATTTTTTTTATAAAACAGTTCATACCTTGTTTTCTTTTAAAATCTTTAGTTACTGAATGAAAAGTATTTAATTAGAAACCTAGACTCAAGAAATTCATTTTAAATCCTGAGGCTGCTGATAAGCAGTGTAGTGTAAACACTGGGTGCAGTGGTTGCAAGCTCTTTGAAGACAGCCGTATTTTAGCTCCGCGCTCCACAAATGACAATGTATTTCCTCTTGCTCTTTTTTTGTTCTCTGGTGTAATATTTGAAAAACAAAAGGTGCAGTTGCATTTAGGTCAGTTATTAAAATATTGTTGATCGTTTCCTTTGACAGAACACTTCTATTGTGTTATACCAATGTCGTTAGGAGGAAAGGTTATTCCCACTTGTCTGGCTGATATCAATACATACTGGCATGTTACATCCCCTGGCTTTCTGGAAATGCTTTATTTGAGCAGGAGCTTGGGAACAGGAAACTTGAGGTTACGCACAGTCTGGTTTCAGACTGCATAATACAAAGCATGTTTCCTAGAAGACACTCTCTACCTAACAGATTTTCTCTAGTATTTTGTAGAATAGAATAGGCTTAAATGGATTCAGGTTGGGAAGAAATATTTGCCAGCTGCAAACATAAGACGGGGTAGAACAGAGGCTTTCAGTCTCTGTAGTATGTATTTTAGGACCTTATATGAATCTCATACTATCTCAGTTCTTCACCAGTTCCTCTGTAATATAATTCACCATTTGAGATATGACAATGCTAATGTTCTGATTTTACAGGTGTAAAGGTGCTCCTTACTGTGTAGGAGCAAATATAGAGGACTTTTACTTCAGGGCAAATGCGTGACAGAGCAGCGCGTTAGCTTCTGCACAGAGAAGCCGTGGGTAGCGTCTAAGCCACGCTTGGGCAGGCCTCTTGCAGAATCACAGTCAGGAGTAGAATAAGAGTGTAGTTTAATCCTGTAACTATTCATTGAGCTGTTTGTTCATACCTGTGAAACAAAGCAAATTATGACAGGGGGTATGTCTCGTTGTGTTTCTTGACCTAAGCCCGTCAGTCTCAGGTGGGTCTCAGACATATAAATGACTGGTCTTTTTCAAATGTATACTCCAGAAGTAACTATTCCCATAAGCGTTCTGCTCATACTCTGAGAAAGAAAAAATAAGTTTTCTAAAGAATGAGAATACCTTCCAAAACTTTTCTCCCACCCATTTTGTTTTTTGTAGGTGACTGATAAGTATATTTTTTTATCCTATTTGCAGAAGTGAGTAATTAAATAGATAATGCAGCATAGCCAACCACAGGCATTCAACAATCATGAGTCACGTTCCAGAAAGTCATGACAGTGGTCTAAAAATCATCTGAGATACACAAAAAGGATTGCATTTCTCGATTGTATTTCTCTTTTTTTTTTTTTTTGTCCCTTTCATTTTTTCTATATGTAGATAGTGCATACACACACAAATAAAAGCTGTTCTTTGCATCGCTGGTAGCTATTGACTTAAATGAGAAGCCAGATGGGAGAGTGTAGCTGAGATTCTCTCAAGATTGATCCCCTCCAGGGTTGGGGTCTTCAGGAAAAACAACGTGTGGTAAGATTTGCGATAAAATCACATTAGTAAACATTACTGATTTTTCATTTCAAAACCTCAAGTTTTTCAAGGAAAGAATGTTTTTAGAATTGTTTTTACTTACTTCATGTCTTTTCCACTGACAAATGAGAGTTGTGTATTTTAAGTGATGATGCTGAAAACTGGAGAAAATAATTTTGATAATGTCTAAGTGTGTATGACTTTCCAATACAAAGTTGTGGAAAAAGAAATGCTTGAAATATTAAGTCATCACACATATATATTAAAGTTATTAAAGCTGTTCCAAGGGAATATACCGTGAGCTGCAGACATCAGAAATAACGTAAATGACAAGCCTTTTGAATGGAAGTAGCCACATCATTACAGGTTAGGCTACAGGTAGATTTTGTGATAAACCTAAGAATATGGTGCTTGGTGAATAGTCAGCTGAGGTTTCTACCACGCTTTCCAGAGCGTCAGAAGAGAAAATTTGAACATGACTTAATTGCTTGTCAGGTTAGAATTTTGGATTCTGCTCTTGTTGGATCCTCGGTTTCAATTTATGATTTTGTCTTAAACACTTCACAGAATCACAGAATAGCTGAGGTTGGAAGGTGCCTCTGGAGATTGTCTAGTCCAAGCCCCTTGCTCAAAGCAAGGTCAGCTAGAGCATGTTGCTCAGGGCTCTGTCCTGTTGTGTTTTGAATATCTGCAGGGGTGGAGACTCTGCAACCTCTAGGCAACATGTTCCGCTTGTATTTATTGGTTTTGCTCATATGCAAATAGTGAATTCCTTATATTTTAGAGCTGACTTTTTTTTCTAGCCTCATTAATTTACTTAACTTATATACAGAATTATGTTTCTTAACCTATTTGAATACAAAACAATCTTAAGATAGCTATTGCAAAATACAAAAAGATTTTCTATCCTCTCATTGTAAAAAATGCTGCATACCAAAGCAGTTTTTCATTGAAAAAATATATATTTAAAAAAAAAACTAATACCTTTTTTCTTCTTACTGAAAGTTATATATCATGTATGTAACTTGCTTATGGAGCATTTGCAACTTCCAGAACAAAAGTAACCATATGAACGACTTTGAACAAAAATGTAAAAATTGAATGGGCATTCAAATGCTGATGCATGATTTTATTTCACACTATTATATTATAGTTTTAATTAGTTGTAAACTGAAGACATCTCTGCTGTTTTGAAGCATCTTAACGTGGATTATATAATGCATGCAGTTTAAAATCCCATCGCAACTAGTTTGTCGTCTTATGTCCATGTGATATGCTATGGAAAGAAAGAATAATTTTGCTTATACCCAAAGCTGACCAAAAGCTGTTTGACTGTTTGAACGTGCTTGTTTCAACGAAACCTGTTGAGGACTTGGGTACAAAGCACCTTGGTTTTTCAACAGTTTGAAGCTGTCTTTCGGCTTTTACATCAAAACTGTCTCACATTCTCTCAGTTTGGAGCACAGGGCAAGTTCTCATCTGGCCTTAACACAGACCCATTCTAGGTAAGATCAGCCAGAGGCAAGAATTCTTCATGTCAGCTGTGGTTTATAACGTGTAAAAATAAAACTTTTATTTTTCATGGAAGATGCATCTAAGTCCACATTGAAGTAGTCACCCTGAGATAACATGGCTACTGTGTTACTGACACAGTTATCTTCAATTGTACTAATATTTTGCTTTGTATTACTGTGCTTTGTGTTTCTTGATATAGTGGTAAGCTTGTAACTCAGACTTGTGCGAGACAGATTGAAGAGACTGTGTGTCTACTTATGTTAATTGAAAGAGTCAAGTTAACTCTCCAGTGGAGTAACAGTCAAGGTGAAGTACAGACAAGGTTGAGGCAACAGAAGACACACACATTTGTTGTGGCACTGTCAACACGATATCTGTTATTCGAATAATAGAGCAAGTTGGTTTCCACAGCTAGTGTCAATTTGGCGTATCGCTTGGCTGACTGCTGTTTGAGTCAGACGCTACACGGGGTTGTACTAACCTGGTCCAGGTGTGTTTCATATCAGTTCTGATTTTTTTTATTTTATTTTTAATTCAGACTTTCCAACTCCTCAGGTGCAACAGTGTAATTTTGGGGAAGAAGGGAATGCTAACTGAGGCCTATGTACACAGAGTAGTAGCCCTGGTATCTGTTTCATGGTAGCTCCATGTGCAGACACTTATTTCACATTAAGGCTCTTCCATGCTCTTTGGCCTGGTTTCTTTCCAAAGTGTTAAATAACGTCTGCATTTAATATTATGTTTTAGCTTTGTCACACAGCTTCTGCATATATGCATGCTTCTGGCATCAGTGTGGAAGAAAGAAGCTTATCTTTTTATTACTGTATATGAGTTTGTCCTCTGTTCTTTTCTAATTCAACAGAATTTAGCTTCTTGGAATCCCTCAAACCCTGAATGCCTCCTGCTTGTTGTGAAAGAGCTTGTCCAGCAGTATCACCAATTTCAATGCAGCCGATTACGGGAGAGCTCTCGTCTCATGTTTGAATATCAGACTTTACTTGAAGAGCCCCAGTATGGAGAAAACATGGAAATCTATGCTGGCAAAAAAAACAACTGGGTAAGCTATGAAGAATGTTTCTGTTAAATGTTTTTAATGATTCTTTCATTTTAGTAAGTATTGCTGTTGCCTTGGAAAAACTAGTTCTTTGTGTGTTGTGTGTGTATTCATGTTTTATGTTTCCTTAGTGTTAGCTCACTTTCTGTACTTCCTTTTTTGTCCTTTGCTTTCATTCCACCCCCTTGCTTGAACCTGATTTCCAAGTAAGCATCTGTTTTTCAGCCTGATGTTAGTTCATCTTATTTATAGATGAACTGATAAACTGTTGAAAATTCTGTGCTCTGTTTAAAGGGCAAAGTACAATGTTATGGAGAAGTCTGAGTTAGCTTAAGATTTGAGAGGCAGTATATGACTATTAAATATGACTCTCTGCCCAGGCAAATTAACCCTGCTGAGAGGTAGGATGTATTAAGGTGTGGTTCTGCCTTGTGTTTGAGCTGATCTAATCGCTAGCTGTAGTTGCATATATCTCCCTGGCATTTGTCTAACCTGAGGTGAGCTTTTCCAGGGACCTAAATTGTGGGGGAAAAAGAAAAAGACTAATTTTCAGCAGG